CCCCAAAACCCCAAAACCCCATGAGATAAGAATACAGTAAATTAATTATATCAAATTCATTTAATACAGCTATGAATGAAGAATATAAAATTATCAGAAAATGAAAAACTATAACTTTTTAAAAGCTTCCTAATGTGCTTTTGGATTCTTAGTTCTATTCATTGCATATAACTCAGCTATCAATCTCTAATCAACAGTAATGGACTAGAGTGGATTTGGCAAACTAGGTTTTTATAACCTTGCCTTGGTCTCAATTTTCTGTTCAATAGGAGGGCTTTTTTCAACCTCTATCAATGCAAAGCTTGGAGTTAATGTAAGTTTATTCCTCGGTGCTATTTTTGACGGCTTATGGATTTTATGCTCGCTTTTACCAACAATGAGAAATCAAATCACAGATTAAGAAGAACTTAATAACAGTGTGATCTTTTCGAAATAATTCATTTATCCAGTCATGCTATTTGCTTCTTGTGTATGTGGCCTCACAACTGGACTACTGTGGACATCATAGGGTGTATATATTTCTTAATGTGCTACAGAGGAAAACAAAGGCTTTTACTTTGGTTATTTCTGGACGATGTATACTCTATCATAAGTATTTGGCAATTTGATTGCAGCATTAGTAATAGGAAATACCAATCAGGTTACTTATTTTATAGTTATGGCTTCGATTGCATTGGCATCGAGTTTGCTTTTCATTACCTTGAGAAAACCTACTTTGTAAAATTAAGAACAATTGAGTCTTAGTGACTTGGTAATTGAAGCAAATGCTAATTAAAAATAAATATAAACTGCAGATAGTGGAATAGTTGACCTTCAAGGAATGAGTTAAACTCAAAATAGCTCAATCTCAAACAATATGATATAAAAGACTTCAGAGGTATCAATATACTAGAATGCAATGAGTATTCTGAAATTTATGGTATCTCCTAGAATGAGGTACTTTATTCTCGAGATAGGCTGGACAGGATTTAGTATATCTTATTTCTCAGGAATGCTAGTACTTATTATGACAGATTCTATGGGAGCAGATGAGAGTGAGAGTTTAAAAAGCTATGAGAAAGCTTTATTTGCAATGGTCGCTCTAGGAGTAGGTGAGGTAGTTGGCAGTTAGCTTGTTGGTTAGATAGTTGATAAAGTTAATAGTAAAGTTGCTGTAATTTTCAATCTGGTTGTTCTAGTGTTGATGCTAATAGTAACATTTATATACCTGATTATTTATGAGTTTTCTTGGTTGGCTTTTGTTATGACTTTCCTGTGGGGAGTTCAAGATGCTGCAGTAAATACACATTGTATGGAAATGCTTGGTTTTGAATTTGATGATAATTCTGAAGCTTTTGCAGTCTTTGCAATGTTTTAAGGGATTATATGTTTCTTTGTATAACTTGTTCAGTCTTTAGTTATTGACCGAACTGGCTTTATTATCTATACTAGTGTTTTCGGTATTATAGGAGTAATATCGATTGGCCTTACATATTTCTTTGATTTCAAGGAAAAGAAGGCTTAAGACTCCTAAAGAGTAAGAGAGTATACACTAATCGAATAAAAACAAAATTGAAGAATATATTCTGATCCGAACAAATAACAAAATATCTTGTGATTGTAATAATATTTTAACCAATCATAGATTTCATTATTCTCAATCATATCTTGATTTTAAAATGAGGGGTTTTGGGGTTTTGGGG